ATATATATATATATATATATATATATATATATATATATATATATTATACATAACATTGAATATATTTTTTGTAAATTTGATCTTTTCAGTTGGCTCTTTGTCATCGGAAGATCACGATTTTGACCCGACGGCAGAAATGCTGGTGCATGATTTCGATGATGAGCGTACGCTAGAGGAAGAGGAGATGAGGGAGGGCGAGTCAAGCGGGAGCTCGGAAATCGCTGATCTAGAGAAGGTTTGCTTTGATTTTTTTGTCCAACACGCATGTCGATTTCTTTTAGGGATTGTGATTATTTTTATATTGTGGCTAATAACACATATGACCAGGCTGACATTATCAGTGTATTAATATTATCCAGCACTGATGTCATCGCACACATATTGTGCGTCTGTAGATTTCTGAATTGTTTGCAGTGATAAAGCGTTGAGTTAAACGTCTGTGTCACAGGAGGGGAGCATGCCGTTGGAAGAGCTGCTGGCGTTGTACAGATATGAAGCTGCAGACAGTGCTGTCGGAGGGTCGAGTACGGACAGTTCGTCTGTAGAGCTGACCGATGAGCTGCCCGATATGACGTTAGATAAAGTAAGTCACTAAAGTATAGATAGTTGTAATGAGATTTATTGTTTTATTTTTTTGTTTTTGTTTTTTTGGATGACTGGCTTCTTCAAATGCACACTGTCAGTCAAATTTTTGGCTTTATAAAGTGTTTTTGAAAGAAGTCTCTTCTGCTCACCAATGCTGCATTTATTTGATCGAAAATAGAGTAAAAACAGTAGTATTGTAAAATATTATTACAATTTAAGGTAACTGTTTTCTATTTGAATATAAATTAAATGTAATTGATTGCTGTGATCAAAGCTGAATTTTCAGCATCAGTCTTCAGTGATCCTTCAGAAATTACTATAATATGCTGATTTGCTGCTCAAGAAACATTTCTGATTATTATCAGTGTTGAAAACAGTTGTGCTGCCTTTTTTGTGGAAACTGTGATGCATTTTATTTTTCAGGATTCTTTGATGAACAGAAAGTTCAAAAGAACAGCTTTTATTTGAAATAGAAATCTGTAGTAACTTTATGAATGTCTTTACTGTCACTTTTGCCTTATTTAATGCATCCTTGCTTAATAAAAGTATTTAATAAAAATAAAAAAAGTACTTACCCCAATGGTAATGTATCACGGTGTCCACAAAATTTAAAGCAGCACAACTGTTTTCAACATTGGTAATAATCAGAAATGTTTCTCGAGCAGCAAATCAGCATATTCTTTCAAAAACATAAAACAAATTATCATGATTATTCCAAACTTTTGACCAGTTGTGTTTGTACATATATATTTTAGCTGTTCATTGACATTGTTACATGTCATCTTTTCTCGTAACAGGAGGAAATCGCTAAAGATCTGCTCTCTGGAGACGATGAAGAAACACAATCTTCTGCCGATGACCTCACACCGTCTGTGACGTCACACGAAACCAATGATTTCTTCCCCAGGACTCTTCGCTGTAAGCACATAGACGTTGTTTACCTATGCTATCACTTACAAATGTGCCGTCTGTCCTCCAGTTTCCATTACGTGTCTGATTTTTCTGTAGCGCTCAATTCTGTTGTTTGTTTTCCAGCGAATACGGTTTACGACGGAGACAAAGAATCTGAGGGTGAGGATGATGGTTTGAGTCCTGAAGACACTCGCAAGGTGAGGAAGATAACTTATTAGATGTTTTTTCTATAGGCTAGGCTTTGTTATTGTAGTCTAGAGTCAGATATAATATATTATTTACAGTCTTATTCAAAGTTTGAGTTTAAAAGGGGTTGTTTTCTATCCTTTATGTGTGTCGTATAAAGTTCAATCAATGTGTATTATATTAATTTGTGTTTTCGCAGGAGATCATGGTGGGATCTGAATATCAGGCTGAAATTCCTTCTCTCACCTGTTATAATGACCATGAAAAAGGTGAGTCTTTGATATTTAAATGGAGTATGTGCAGATTTGAGTCAGTGTTTACATAATTCAGATGCTACCAATGTTAAATACAACATGAAATGGTGTAAACATTGTTTACATGCATTTCTTAGTGAAATATTCTGTGCAAAATAATGTAGGGTGAGACTTGAGTTTATTCATTGGGATTGGATATGCTGAAAAATGTCACTGAAGTTATTTTTCACCATCTTTTTATGCAAGCAGAAAATGTTTTTTGGAGATGTAGAAAAGTATTTTGATGCAGGTTTTCCTTGAATGTGTTGTTCAGTGTACGCGGAGGAAGATCAGCTGCTTTGGCAGCCGGATATCTTACCCGAGTCAAAAGTCAAAAGCTTCTTGCAGGACGCTCTGAGTGCGGATGGAAAGATGGACGGAGATGGCAAATGTTCTCTGGTCAAAGACAACGAGCAGGTGAAGATCACAGATCTGTAGTTTTACACAAAACAAACACATTTGTTACACCTGATGGGCTGTTAATTATGTCCACTAAATAGATTTGAACACTTCATAAGTACTCATAGTGCTGTTATTAATAACACTTAACCCTGTAAAGCCTGACATCTGAAATAATGGTCAGAATTTTTTTTTTAATGAACAGTTTATTGAAAATGTACACAAAATCTAAAAATATTTTTAAAAATGGCATATGTGTTTTTTGAGCATCACATTTGATGCATCAGACTTTTATGGCTCATATAGTTTGATATAGTGAGAATATGGAGGGGAAAAAACAGCTGAGTTTTATTCAGAGGCCCAAACTGAGCAAAAATAGGCGATTTGGTGCAGATGCTTATTTTGAAATGGCCAAAAAGTTATGAAATTCTGATGCTTGTAATGTAAATCAATGAGATCTTTATAAGAGTACAGCAGATACTTAAATAAAGTGATATAAATATCAGTCCTCACTCTTTTATCTCCAATAATGTCTCATATGTAAGATGAGATTGAAATGATCCAAACATATAATGCAATGCAGTCCAATGCTGATTGAGAGATGAAGAAATAAATGTTCCTCAAAAGATGTGGGATGTTTTGGAGGCTTGTGAAGATCATTCCTCCTCTGAGGAACAGTGAAAGTAAAGCTTCTGGAAACAAACGCTCTTATTCTTACGTTTACTTGATAAGAATCAGTCAAGATTTGACAGCAAGAAGACACGTGAAGCACGAGCTGAAGCTGGACGTTTGTACAATTACACTAAAAGAGCTTTTACTTGCTAAAAAACTATCAATCAGACGACAGAAGGCATGTAGGAGATAGTGTGCAACAGGTTTAACAGCAAAGTTTTGGTCATGTTTATCATTTAGAGAACTTAGAAAATGTTCAGTAGGCTTTTTAGGGTTAACTAACCTGTTTGTTTTCTCCAGGCTTTATATGAGCTTTTAAAGTGTAACTATAACGTCCAAGAAGCTCTTGAACGGTATCGCAGCAACCACAAATCCTCAAAGGGTAAGTGGAAATATTGGTGTAGTTATGGTTGTTTTGTTATAGTAGGCTTGTTGAACTGCGTGTTGAAAAATAAACTTATGTAAATGTTATTATTTAGTCGAGATGCTCCCATGGTCTGAAGAAGAATGTCGAAATTTTGAACACGCTCTTCTGTTGTACGAGAAGAACTTCCACCTCATTCAGAAACACAAAGTAAGATGCCGTCTTTTCTCCTACAGTTTTGATCCTAAACACTGTTGTCTTCGATATTTAAATGCAGTTTTGAGTCAGTATTTACATAATTCAGATGTCATTCATGTTAAATACAACATGAAATTCCATTAGGGCTGTCAAAATGGCTGAAAAACTAAATTCGAATTTTGT